ACTGAAAAATAACAATGGAAATATAAAGCAGAGAAATACCGTTAAATATGTATTTCTAGTTGTGCCTAATTCACATCCATAATATTTGTGCAGAATTTTAAAACATTGTTATGTGTACAGTACTTCACAACATCATTCTTATAACATCTAAATCATCTCAAATTTATACATTTGAGCATCTTTAGAATTGCTGCTTTTTTCAGAGTTTTAAATGAATAGGATTTAATCAACTAGCTTTTCATACACTTTTTTACATGGCTCTCTTTTCACACTTTGTTCTTGGAGGTCCTAGAAACTATTTGCAATGTTCAGAATGTGAGACCATTCAGATTCTCAAGCTGGATAAGACATCCACTGCCCTTTTCCTTTTTCAAAGGGTAATCATTTTATGGGTATAAAATGTTATTAAAGGTATCCCCCATTATGCAGTAGATGTTCTTAAAATGGATGATTATAAGCCAGAAGTTTTTGTTCCTTAGTGGGATGTGATTCTCTAGATTTTCAAAATATGTCAGAAATGACATACTGACTATTCTGATACTGTACTGTATCTATTTCAAATCTAAGGAAGGCAATCATATTTGAAGGCAAAGGCTATGACTCACCCATTGAGCTGATGATGACCCCTGGAATGAAAAGGAGTTTATGTTTTGATTATAGTTCCAACAGAAGCTTCAACCAGTTCAATGTTAATGAAAGTTAAATTTGTACTCAGAGTAATCCACTAGACCGAGTAATACAAATGGGTTTTAAAGGAGTAAATATGGAAATATGATGGATCTACTGGTTTTTTTTTTCTAGGATATGGTTAGAAATGATAAATCTGAGTATTCTGGAATATTGTCTTTATTTGCAATTTGTTTTTGTTTTTTTGGAAAAGTGCAGGTGTACATTGACTCACTCTCCAATGCATAACAATAAAAGAGCTTCACAAAAGGAATCAGGCAATGATTGCTAATATTGTTGTTTTACAACTAAAGAGAAGGTACAGTATGTTACAAAATGTTTTAAAGCTGTTTAAACAGTAGAAAATTTACTGATGCATTTGATGCTTACTAATAAAAACAGATGAAAATGGTTTATACTCCATTTATATATTGTATCCTATGTATTCAATTCATTTAAAACTCTTGGTACAGTACATACTGTACTATACTGAGAACTTTTCATACTGCATTTACCAAAAATAGCCAGTAGTTCATTTGAATCATACAATACTATATCATTTACTTAATTCAAGTACTATTTAAAATCCCTAAATATAGACCTAGATAAACAAGCTCCATGTGAAATAGACAACCATCAAACCAACACTGAAATAAGTATTGTTGTCTCAATGAAAACAATCTGCAAAAGCCTTTACCCAGTTAAATATGAAAGGTTCTGTCAAACATGCCATCATATATCATGATTTTTTCCCCTGCAATTCAGAAGTATTTCAAAGGTTTGTTGTAAAGTGTGTCTTTTGTTGTCACTGCTGGACAGAAAATTGATGGGGAGTTTGCCATATGATTTGCTCTTTACGATCTGTGATAACCAAAATACTGTAAGTTGGATGTAAGGTATCAGCTAAATATTATTAATAATAATATTGCTGTACATACACATTAAAGTCCGGCAACGCTAGTAAAACAATTATAAGCATAATACCACATTTCAGTTTGTTGTGTCTATTACATTTTGTCTACATAGGTGAGCTAAATGGTATTTCCATTATAGTGGTATATTTCCATTATTACTGTTTAATAAGACGAAGCAAATATATTGTAAAGCCACCTACAATTTTCTGCTGTGCTTATGAACATTTGCCTAGAATGTATGGTACTGTTTAGTACTAAATGACAATTTCGAAAGTTGGGATTTCATCACCCCATTCCCAGGACCTAATGAAAAACAGATTGCCTGGGAAACCAGAATTTAAAGTAAACCAAAGGCCACACAGCCAACAGCACCAGATTCTCTGGGTAACTTTTGAAATTTTGTACCTACAGGTTGCAATGCATAGTATTGTACTGTATGTAATTTGTTCTAGCTTATTAAGTTGGGGACATAACTAGAAAGAAGAAAAAACATAACATTTATAATCCTGTTTGTTTGCCTGACAATTAAGTTTCCTTATTATCTTATCTTCTAAAATAATCACATACAGTATTGAATTGTTGCGCAGAGATCTAAAATTCTTTAAATGTTTTTTGTTGGGAACATCTGCTTCATAATAAGTATTTTATTTTTAACTGCTTCAAACTTTGCTTGAAATCAATCAAACATGCCAAGATGTAATGTTAATTGCTCTTTGAGTGAAATAATAGCTTTCAGAAAGTTTTCCAAAACAGTTGTGCACCATTTGTTTAATAAATGTAAAGCCATTGGGTTTCTCCAAACTACTGCACATGTAAATTATTAAACCCTTTAGCATTGTGCTGCTGTTTTCCGTTTGAAAGAGTCACTTTGATATATACAGTAACTTGAAAATGATTATTTTATCTCTAATATCTGGCCTTTGATTGAGATTTTATCTAGTTTTACCTATCGGACTTGAAAGGAGTGATGAGATTACAATCCTTAGCAACGCTGGGGGGTTTTGTCTTTTTTTTTAAATGTTTAAGCTAAATAAACAGCCACACTGTGCTTCTGAAAAGCCTCGGTTTCAGTTTTCCCAGAGAGGTTTTGTGCTGTCAGAGCCATCTAGAGTACAGTAAGTCTGTCTTAAATTCCATTGTAAAGATGTAATATGGTATACGCACAAATCCAGTTAACCATTCAGCATTAAACTGCCCTCTCTAAATCCAGGTTAATTAAAAATCTTTGTTGTATCATTTAGGACCTTCAGCCCAAAGGGCAATTTGAGAAATGAACAGAGTAAATAGCAATGAGCTGCTGCTCCCTAGCCATATTTTTAAAGCCATACCTGAACAGTTTTCTTACAGGGATTAAAAGGTAGTGTTGAGTCTTGTCTCATTTCATTAAAAACAACCTCACAAAAGTGTTCATACTACCATGTTCTAACAAGCCAAAACTTTGGCTTAGTATCTAATAAGGTGGGATTACTAAAAGAACACATATACCTGTATCTGTTGATGAATCACTGTTCTGAATTATGTAGGTGTGTTTATCATCTGAGGTCAAATAGCTTAACTTTTGATAGGTTGAATGAAAAATATGAAATGCCACAGTGTACAGTATCGCAAAACAAACTGTGGACACAGATTCTAAAATAAGGAAAAGCTGCAAACAGGAATGAAACAGTATTAAAGCTAACTGTTCAATTGTCAGGTAATCTATAATACGAGCTTTGAAGAACAAAGCTGATTACTAGACTTTCCACAATTGGCTCTAAAAGGTAATATCTGCAGTGATAGTAACACAACACTGAAGAGCTTTTTCAAGTAAGGCCATGGGGCCAGTTTACAGGGATATAAATACGGGAGACAGATTTACTGATGTCACAGGCTAGGTGGAGCACATGAGACATACAGTATATTGCTAGTTCTTTGAATTAAGGGGAAAAGTCAGATATTTAAAAGGTAATATTGCTTTGGAGAAAGGTAAGGTAAGCACACTTCTTCACTTGTCTGTGATAAGTGTAGAATATATTGATGTCTTATTTTTATTCTCTAGAATATCTATGGCAAGCCCTCATTGGCAGTAATAATAACATTTCTCAGTTTAAAATGTTGTATATGATTTTTTTAACTTGAATGTAAAAGGCTTACTGATACAGTACATAATCAGTACAGTACATTATGTCATTCTGTCCTTTGCAAATGTACAAGAAAGAGACTGCCCAATATCTTCTTTACTTCAGGCTACAGTATTTGTGATCAGTTCAGAAACTAGCCGTCTGAGACATACTGAAGCGTAATTCAAAAATGAAAATCTAATTTGTGTAGCTTTGTGAGAAAACAAAGTACATTTTCAGAATAAGCATGACATTATTGATTTGCATTAGGTTTTTGATGGACTCAAACAGTACGCGAACAGTTTTCTTGCCGAAGGAAGTTATCACACCACTTGAGTACTATCAAAACATTAAAGGAGATCTTCAGGCAAACCCTGCAGAGTTTCTCAATTACAAGATTTGCACACTAGTCCACTCAATCATCCCAAGACAGAAGCTAAATAGTTTGAATGGAACTATCAGCAACAACGAGTGTTACAGTATATTTTTATTAGGCTGATTAATCTAAATGTTGTGCAGGGATTACGAAAGTGTCAGTTATTTAAAACATATATCCGTGCAGTTTTCCTGCATGTACAGTATGAAACAGGTGTTCGCTAATGCCAAAAGCCTAAATGTGCATTAAAAAGACCCGTCGAACATGTACTGTATTTCTATCATCCTCTATATCCACTCAAACGGAAATGTGCAGCTGTTATTGCTGCATGTATTGTTGATCTCAATTCTTAAAATACTCTGGGTGTTGTCCAGTTGTGTGCAGGAAGGTGCTTTGCATATTGTTGCCTTTTGTATTATGAACCCACCTTTTCCCAGAGGACTTGTCCCCGCGAACAGCTAAGCCTCTTCAGACCGGACTGGTATATTTAGAACTACAGTGTTTGAACAAAAAGTACTTTCAGGAATTTATCATTGGACGCTGTTCGTCAATCAGGGCTGCATGAAGAGAGCAAGCAAGGCGGTTTTTACCTTTGAATACAGTAGTTCTATTTCACGCTATCTTGTTTTTGCTGCGTAGGACTACAGCACCTGGCAGATTTGGACACTAGTGAATTACTGTGCATGTAAGTACCTGTGCCATAATAGCATACAGGGTAGATGGTTTCTCCAAAGTTACGTTAAAATGTAACAAAGAGTTTGGCTATTAAAAATAAATTAATTACTTCGTTAATGCTTTGCAATTATCTCCATATACTAATAATAACGAGTGTCTTGCTTCGCCGTTATAAACTGCCTCCTTTTTTGTCGTGTGCTTCCGTGAACATGTGATATAAATGTCTTTAGTGAAAAAACAAGTACAGTAGCTGTGGTCTCAGAGTGAAATCCTGCATAGGAATGTTTGAATTCTCATGGCTCCTTAATTAAATTCTGTGGGTTTTGCTTATGTCAAATGTTTGTCAAATGTTTTCTTAGAATAGGTCATCTTTAAATACACGCCTGATTAATTTGCTACAGTGAAAGTGCTCAGAGGGGGGGTTATTTTGTATTTACAGTACTACATTTTGTTTTGAAGTGAGCTTCCTGGAATTTTAAGCAGATGTTTGGGGGGAAATACCGTTTTTAGTTTGAACTGTTGATTACTTGCTTGCTTAACACGACCAGATATTTTTAAAAAATATTAATTCGCTCACTGCTCCAGATCTGAACTAATCTGTGGGGCACCTTGTACCTAGACGAGCCTGTGATACGGAAAAATAAAAAAGGGCGTTGCGTTGATTATATCCTCTTGATTGGTACGAGTTCACACAGGAATTCCCGGGACCGTGTCAAAGCATGCTCAGTTTTAAGTTAAGGAAGTAAACTTTAAAGGTAAGGGGATCTTTTATTTTTTCTTTTCTAGACACTATTACAGAATTGTAATTGGATTGTAAACCTAAAGCAGCGTTTCTGTTTAGGACAGGAAAAGCTGGTCTAGGTTGAGAAACAGAAGTATCATACAGCAATTCGAATGCTCTGTCGGACTTTAAATTGACCTCTTATCTCAACATAAACGTTACGAAATTTGTGAATCTGTTACAAATGTTAAAAAGGTTATAATATTTTTACCAGAAGAATAAATAAATTAGGCATACTGTAGCTTTTGGTGATGTCATAACATCCCGGAGGAACAATTCCAGAGATTTGTAATGTCGCCGGAAATTAGTTATATTATTAGTTACAAAAGTATTATTATAGGAGCACAAAGCTTTGAATGTGATGAAAGTATGGTGTTTTAACTATCAAAATGGAAAATTGGGTTAAGAACTCGGAAGAACACGTTAAACCCGTCTTGTAAAAAAAAAAACATATGGCATCCAAGAACATACTCAATTCCCAAGTACAGGAACCGTGCTTCGGTGAGCAGTTCAGTAACGTATTACCTTTACAGAGTAATTTGTAGTGCTGAGAAAAAGTAAAGGGGCTTCTGTGGCAGACGTTTAGAGAAATAGTCAGTCTTGTATTGGGTGCACTCTGAAAGGTGGGGACTCACATTGAAAACTGCCCTGCTGTATCATTTTCATTTTCACCTGGAGGTTGTAGTACTGTAGATGGCACTAAGTGTGAAGTCTGGTATTCTGTACACCCCTGGTTTGGTTTTCACTATTGATTTAAAATTTGCCTGAGGCAAAACCTTGAAATGTTTATTTTTTTTTCTGCTAAACATCCTCCAGCTCTGTTTGTCTTATCTTCTGATAGTCCTGTGCAGGGAGTGGCATTTTTCTGAGCATGAATCTAAACCTTTTTTCAAAGCCAGTGTTAATATATTTTAAATTGTATCACTGACAATAGAGACATTTTTAACCTCTGGTAATACAGGAGAGATCTTTTCTTGACTTATTAAAATACTGTTTTAAAACACATTAACAGAAAAAAAATATCTTCATTTTTTACTTTTTTCCTCAACATAATGTTTACTTTCAGAAAGTGCTGCAGAGCTGAGATTGTTGATTAGATGGCTGAGTTTAAGTGTCAGAAGCCTTTTGTTAAAGAAACAAAAGGGGTGGAAATGTGTCCATTTGCAGTGAATAGTGTTTTTTCCTGTGTGGCTTTTCTTAGTTGAAATGTTTTCAGTTTCAGTGACTCAGCTTCAACTAAATAAAATACAGTACTTACAGTACTGTACTCTTTGGGGCGTACAGTATTTTTAAAGAGTTCATCTTCATCTTACAAATCAGAAATGTTGAAATATAGCTGCACAGTGTAATATGAAATGTACTGTATGTCCCGTCCTGTCTTGCTATTCTTGGTCTTTTTGAGACACTGAAGACAAACTCAGAATAGTAAAGGTGGGAGTAATGAAAACGGTGCTATATTTCACAATGTCAATTGTTAAGAATATTTGTTGGATTGCTTGGGACCTCTAAAAACAAACATTTCCTCAACATATTGAGCTTTCTAATCTGCATTTTATACTTTTAAACTTTTCTCAGGGCTGCTTGTAGCATCAGTGGCAGGGTTGGATATGAACTATGTGTTGGATTTGCCTAAGCTGTTTTGTAATGGGGCACATTAAGTTAAGAGTCATGAGAATTCAAGAGAATTTAATTCTTGTCAGATGGTGTTTACAGTGGGACGTGTCTGCAGCAGTGAGTATTACTGTATTTTTATTTGGGATTTTGGAAACATTTTGTATTCACTGGTTGATTTGTTTAGTACTTTGACCTTCATGCCTATGTCAATTGAGCAGGTCCAAGTGTGTTATGTTTGTTTCAAAACTAGTACAAACTGCTTTCATTTTTACATTGGTCGAAAGTAGGGTAGGCTAGATTTTGTTTTCCAAAGGCAATGAAGGAAGCAAAGTGGGCTGTTCATAGATTACAGGCCTCCTGTCGCAACAATGATCCCTTGTTCTGTCCTGTAGGCTTTTGAGCTGAAACTTGTTGTCTCTGAATAAGGCTCCAGCTCAAATTCATGCTCTTGACACCTTGGAAAATCACACAGCAGTTTGGAAAGATGCATTTGAAGGCTTTATTTTTCTCTGTCAGGTGCATGCAGCTCTGCGGTGAACCTCTGCACTACCTATAAAAACATTTCTTTACAAAACATAATGGGTTACATCATTAAAAAAAAAAGATCATATTGCACATCTGCAGTGCTTGATTCCTCTGTGCCTTGAAGCATACTAGAAAGGCAAATGATAGAAAGATTTGGGGCCTAGAGGTTGCAAATATTTTTGCCTCACACAGAAGAGCTATAGCTATCTCTGCTCTTCTGATCATCATGAAGTAATGAGAATTAAAATACTGTTACAAAATATGAAAACAGTATTGTTTGTAGTTTTCTCTTTTACCAAATAGATGATGCGGGGTCAAAACAACAGATATTTTCAAAATAAATATTTACCCATCTATTGTCATAAAGCCGCTCAAATAGAATTTTATAAATGTAATATTCAGTACCTTTAAAGGTATATGTTCTATAATTTAAACACAGAGGTAGAAGTTTTTAAAAAGCTGGGTAATGCCTTAGGAAACTGCTTGGATAAGATCTTTCTAAATAAAAGCTAATATTTGGCTGACCATTATTTAAACTACAATCAGTTTTAAAGACCTTGAAAACTGGACTTTATACAGTACCAGCGCTCCAGTGTGTCCACGGCATGTTTCTTCTGTTTCTGTTCTGGATAGTTTCCAGATTAAGCTGTTCCAGTATTTAAGTATTTCTAGCTGCAGACCAGTTTAAGTGGCTTGAACGCAATTGTTTATGTAACTGACTTGTAAGTACTACTGGGTCTGTTTCAAAGTCAAGTGTTATATCCTGCTATTAATGTGGTAGGAGGATGTTTTCAGTGTGAATGCTGTAAAAGGGAACAAGAAAACTTTTTTAGTCTTGGTCTTCACTTATTTTGAATTTCTGTTAAGGAGTCGGGTGAGTTTTCAGAAAATTCCTACCATATTAGTAGAAGATGTCATTTATTTCTCAGTAGGCCTAATTCTGCACAGAGTGTCATCTGGATTCATATTTAAATTGATATTTTTTTTCAAAGGGTTCAAGGGAACTGTTCCATTTTGCTTTCAGTATTGTGTTTACATACAATACAATGCTCAAATGAGAAGATGACTTCCTGATATATATATATACTTATCGTAGTCAAACAGTCAAATCAACAATGTGTGTTTTGTAAGGACTGCATCCAGTGTCAGCTGATATGCCAGAAAGAAACTGCCTTACATTTTATGGTCTAAATAGTATAGTCATGTGAATTTATCACACTTCAGGGTTTTTCTTATGAACTCCAGTCAACTGTGTCTGAGTTTCAACAGCTGCTGCTGTTGAGCAGTATACTGTATAATTACAACAGTATTTTGCAATGAGATACATTCTAATTTCAGCAAATCAATACATGCTCATGACTACATGTGATGTATGTGTCTTACTTGGATTATTTTACATTGGTTTGGCTAACACTAAAATTGAATGACAGTTTATTTGGAACTAGGAAACCTTTAAATTATTGAACCACTTGTGCTGTACTTGTAAAGTGCATGGAAGTAGTTGGAACATTTCTGAAATTCCAACTAGATGAAGTGCTATCAGTGAGTGCACAAGAAATTTCACACTGGAATTCCACAAGCAGTGGGTCATATATGCAGGGTAGCCCCCTTGTATATAGGATTTTTGTCTGTTTGTTCCACTGTATTTTAGAAATGTGACTTTATATGCAGTTTTAACAAAAAAAACAGACACACTTTGTAATACTTTCTACAAGGTCAAAGTATGTTCTCTTGTGAAATGATGTATCTCAATAATAAACATCCAGGTGTTTACTTTGGCTGAAAAAATCAATGTTATTTCCCGGTCAGGTTAAAAACAGTGTGAGACGCAGGGCTAACAGTGTATAATGTACGATTGAAGTCTGATGCAGTGACATCGTTCCCATTATGTCTCCAGTATATATGCATGATTCTGCTTATATGGGTGATGTTTTTTTGATCACAAGAGGAAATTTTGAAGTCTATATAGAGAGTATTAAAGTGGATAATGAAGATACAGAGGTCAGGACTGAATGAAACAGTGATCACCAAACAAAGGCATAGTAATATTTATAGTTTGGTAGAGCTACAGTAGGTCCCCAACAAATCTCTGGCTCTTGAATAGATTTTTTTAGTTTGCACTTGGTTCCCATCGCACCTGAAATTGCAAATATGGGGTGTGTAGTCAATAATTTTATTATAATAATTTCTAATACCCAAAAAACCTAGAAAGGAGAACCATATAACTGAAACAGTTGAAATATGAAGGTATGTTAATTTTTTTATGGAGATGTGAACTTGAAGAGATTTGGGAAAATGAATCAGTGACTTCAATTCAGTTTCTGCCTGCCTGAAAAATTATTCAAGTATTTTATAGTGATGTTAGGTAAGGAAGACAAAGTATCTTTATCAAAGTATTTAAAGTGTTTGAACAGCAGCAGTTTAATATAGAAATGAATAGTTTAAGTAATTTTAGAGTCACATTAGAACTTTAATTTTGAATTCAAGCTGCCAACCAACTCCTAATATAAGGTATCCTATCCTTTTGGTGTTGCTGTGAGGTTTATATACTGTACATATATTATTTTGGTAACCATCTTTATTCCCATGTTTTAAAAATGCAGGGCAGAATTCTTGGGAAAAGCTTACAAAACAAGTCTGTTTAGCCTCTTACACAAGTTTGTTTTAATATGCAAATTAACTCCTTTAATTCATAGCAAACATACCATCTGGTATAATCTGGAACTGCTGATCGTTGAGAGATTGGTCACAACATCAGATTCTGAAATGTCCTGTCCATGAGCTATATATACGTATTAATCTGCAAGTTTTAGTGCTATTTAAACTTTGTTTCCCCTTGAGTGTTATGGACTGCTTTCCTTCCATGTAAGGCAGACATACTCTCCTTATTAGAGTCTGTTTTTCTGTACCTTTTGTGTCTGAATGAGTGCACAGAATGCATATTTGTTTGGAGTAAAAAACTTTTTGCTGTGTAATCAGTGGAATAGAATACAAAAGATTTTTTTTATTCTGTGAAAAGCTACACCAGCCAACCAAGTTAAAAAAAAACTCAACCAGAGCAAAGGCAAAGAGAAATAAGATGAAAAGAGCTAGGCAAAAAAGAAATAGTAGGTTAATGGCAAATATTACAGTAACCAAAAAGTGAGGAGCAAGGGGCAGTTAATATTTTATAGAATAGAATAATCAAGTTAGGTAAAGTAGTGTGGACAGAATAGAATGTAGGTTACCTTCAAGGACAATAGCAAATGATAAAACTCAAGTTAACTTTATCTGTAGTGTTTGTGTTGTGCTTTTGCAGATAACCACTTCACCAAAATTCGAGTTTTGATATAGTAGAATTTGTTATGTAACTGTGTACTGTGATACCTTTCCTGTCATGCATCAATGGTAAACATGATGGTTTAGACAATACAGTTTTGGAATTTCCAGTTTTGGAGATTGCTGCTTTCAGCTGCCTTTATGTTTTAAGATTCCTCATGCCAGTGTTACATATTGCATTAACTTGTCCCTGCTGGCAGCTCTGTCTATCCTGTGTTACTTCACTGCACTTCTAAACTGCTGCTGACAAAGCTGGTTCTATACTTATGTGATTAGGATGATCTGTATTAAAACTATAACATAGTAGTCAAGGTGAGGGTAACTTTCTCAGATATCAGTTATTTTTTAAGTAGCAAAAACTGACCTCCTTATCTACCTCCTCGAACTTTATAAATGCTTTTACCAGCATTGCTCATCACATTACACTTTATCAATCACTTCATTGTTATACCCAAGCTCCTCTTTGAGAGGGAGTCCAGTTTCAATTTTTTTTTTACTAAAGAGAACTTTAGTTATTGCAAGCACAAAGAATTTGAATCCCATTCTTATCTTAAATGTGTACAGTGACACTGTAAATATGTGTAAAAACAGGCTGCACTGCAGTCTTCCTTAACAGGAAACAAAGCAGTCCTGAAGGTTTTAATAAAAAAAAAATATTGCAGCATGTTACTGGCAGACTTTCTTAAAGTGTTGTTTTTCCTTTGACAGAAAATCAACCAAAGGGAAAGCTCCACCTCCGCCTCCCCTAGCAAAGGGCTTTGATGGTGCAAACTTTACACAGAACATGGAAAATCCAAATGCAGCCATGGATCAGAAAGAAAATTTGATGGACAAGGATATCACTCTGACAGTGGTGCTTCCAGGAGGTACAGAGAAGACAGCTACTGTGCATGGAAGGTAAGAGCACATGAGGTGCATAGAGGAAGGGATTCATAGACATGTGTTGACACCTTTGTAATTGAAGCAGCACACTGTGGGACAGAAACAGTCCTGCTCAAGAGGGACAGACTCAAGGTTATTACAAGAGTTGTGCATAATGTGCTGTACTTCCGTCAGCTGTGCATTGCATGGAACTTGTTAGGCTAATTGTTTTCAACACATGTGCTAAGGTCATTGTGGGGGCAGGTCTGTAACTGCTGGCTTCTTGAATTTGCTGTTTCCTTGCAAAGCATACAGTAGTTGGTATCATTCGCAGCACAAAAGTATTATTACAGTAGTGCAGCTGTGTTCCATATTAAAGGCATGCAAAGCAGTCATATGGTTTGTATGAAACATATGCTTAAGGAAGACCCCAATTTTCCATGATTTATGTAATAGAAATTAAATTCATGGTTGATACACTGGGCCACAAGATAAGTTGAAACCTGCTTAACCTATAAATTACAGTCTGTTGCTTTGGAGACAGGAGGCTAATTGAGGCTTTTTGCAAAAGTGCTTTTAGTCATGATGAGATATGTCTAGAATTCCATCTTATCGGTCCTGTGAGGTTTTTTTTCTGTACTTGTTTCGAAATGTCTGCATTTAAGATACAGATAAAATTCTGAGTACAAAAAAACAGCTGTGTAAGTCGGCCTAGTGATGTTAAAGGTTTCCATTGGAGACTTCACCTGTTTTATGATTACCATGATTTAATGGATAGACCTATTTCCTACATTTTGCATTTTGTCTGGCCTCCACATATTTTGTCAACCTAACACTTCCGTGTTGAACCTGAAGCTTCATGAACTTCCAAGTACTGTATTTGTTTCCTAATCTGTATACTGTATTTTTTAAACTTGTGTGCCAGCACATATTTGCAGTAGTCATGAAAAGTGAAATATTTTTTGGGGTGTGTCACAATAAAGTGTTTTTTTATATTTTACTGTAGGTGTTGCTTTTAATTGTTAAATTGTTTTTTATGTAAAGTATATTTTATTAATCATCAATTTATATAGATAATGTGGTTCTGTAAATGTTTAAATCCATAGAATATGAATGCTTTAGTACTATTTTACAAAGCCTCAGCTTCCATAATTTGATAATGAACAAAATATCAATTTCTTTCTTTTGTAGAAATACTATAAATCTTAATATGTTACAACAGTGCATTCACTAGTGGACTGGATCATTATGGGAAAAATATAATTAATCACTTGTGTTTATTCTTTGATGTGAATAGTTATGCCATAAGTGGGTACAGAAAGTGACCTTTTGTCATTTTATGTAATCCAAATCTTGTACCCTGTATATTTGGATTGTTCAGAGAGCAGACTGATTTTACCAGAAATTCTAAAATGGATCATCTTTATTGTACACCAAGGCTTGAAGCCTGACCATTGCTATGACTGAGAAATTAGAAAAGGAACCTTATCTTTAAAATCAGTCAGTGAGTGTACTGAGGCAGATTGTCACCATTGATGCCCTTGATTTATAGCTATGATGAAATGCAGACTTTGTTGTTCTGTCATTAGAGTTTATTGCAGTGGGAATAGTAATTCTATGTCCCATATCTTTTTTTGGTAAACAGTTTGGTTGTCTCTGTATATTAAGTGCCCTGGCCTGAAAGTACTTTAATAAGAGCTCAACTTCAGTCCTTCAAATTCTTTAGCCTCTGTATTAATTCCAAGTTTGTCCTGAGCATTACAGGAGTACAGTGTGTTCATTATGTTAAGGATTAAGTTGCTGGGATTAAATTTATAAAAGTTTTCTTAATTCCAGAAATAAGGAGACTCCATTGAGTAACATTGTGCGCATGCTATTTCTAATAGGTTTTCTACAATTTAGAAATGTTAGATCTTAAAGGCATTTAAGAGGTTTTGTTTAATATGAACTAAGTATTAATGATTTGTGCAAAAAAAGAGGTGGGATTCTACTTTGTTCCTCTTCTTATGCCATAGAAACATTGCATTTTACTGATATGTCTAAAAGAGGTGACTGACAATGTATCATCATGATTCATAATACACCTTTATCCATCTCCTTATTACTATTCTTGTGAGTCAAGTTGAGGAAGGCAGCTGAGTAACTTGGATGTCATTGCAGCATAATCTGTTGAATAAGCTTTTCTGAACCAAGATGATCATAGTTTACTTTAGACAGCCACAGAAGGGCCTCTTGCTCACATTAAACTTATTCAAATCCTGCAGTAATAAAAGGATTATTACTGCTACTCTACAAATTATCAGTGCATCATAAAAAAATACCCTTGGGAAACCTGTTTGAACATGCAGCACTGATGTCACAGGAAATGTTTCAGTTCAGCATAGTTATCCCCCAAATTATAAGAACATAAGAGAAGTTACAAGGGGGGACCACTCAGCACATCAATCCTGTTTGGTTGCTACTATCTAAATCTAAGGATTTCATCCAGCTGTTTGTTAGGTCAAAAAAAGGCTGGGTATTTGTTCAATAGCATGCCTGGATAGCTTTGTCAATTCTGCAACAACCCTTTGAGTAAAAAATGTCTTCTTGGTTTAAATGCATTTTCACATAGTTTCCACTCATGTATTCTGGTGTATGTTCAGGCTAAAAGGTTCAGTTCTTTTAGCCTCTCACTGGAGGACAATCATTAGAGGCCAGGAATGTATCTGGTTGCTCGTCTCTGGATTGATTCCAGAGTAGCAATCTTTTTGCAGAGTGGTGATCAGTGTTGTACACGGTATTCTAGATAAGGCCTTAATAGTGCATTGTTACAGTTTTAGCATAACATGCTTTGTTTTATATTCTGTTTTATATATCTTAGCATTGTCTTCTTATTGCTTCCACGGACTGTTCAAAAATATATATTCGTGATCCGTATGGTTGTCTTTTTATACATTAAAGTATAAAAGAACAACTTCTACAAGTTTAATAAGGAGCTTAAGGAGCTTCTGGAGCCTTCTACATTCCAGGAAAGATAATCCTTACTGGTCAGTAATTGAGGAATCTGCTGTTAACTTTTCTGAACCCCGTGTTTTGCACAATGCATTTAGTTGGTTCCTTTTTAAATCCAGAACACGTATCCAGTTCATGACAATTTGTTTTGTCTAATGAGCAGTGTACTGTAACTTTCCAAAATCTATCCATAAGCACAGAATGAGACTTAATTATCTGTAATTCCGCATCCTGGGTCATACATCCTATACACGATATGTACTGTATACAGTAACACTTTAACACAAACATATATACTGTAAAATATGCAATTTAGCTTGGGGCTTAAAGTTCAATAGACTATTTTCTAGGGAATTCACCACTATATATTTTAAAATCCAGGCCTTTAGTGTTTAATTTTGATTTTTCCAGATTAAATAATCATTAAAATGTTAATTAAGGAGCTACAGGACAGTGAAGGATTTCAAGTGGTCTTTCCATTATGATAATGTAATAGCATTCAGTATGAACTTGAAAGATTTTAATATCGGGCCACTATCCCTTTTATCTTTCTTTTTCTACAATGTAGTTTACATTCTGTAAATATATTTTAAAGACTAAACTCTAGTATTTTAAAGGCTAGTTCATTAATAAGGAATGTACAACTCGTAAGTGTACCTTTATAGACCTTATTGGGCCATTTCCTCTTTCATCTGTAAGTAAATTTACTTTTCGTTGTAGTTTATTCAGTCTCTATTAATTCCTTCTGAAATTTAAATGCAAATTAGGAACACTGGCAGTGCATGTAAAAATATTTTGTCATAATCTTATTCCCTGACATGTAAAAGTTGCTCTTTTTGTGTATTTCATCATATTGCCTATAATAGAAGAGGGGACGATCACATAGCATTTTGGTGCTATTATTGCATGAGTAATATCTACTCATGGTTGTTTTTGACCTACAGTACTACACCCTCGAATATAAACTTAAACTCAGCAGGTCCTTGCTAATTTGACTTGGCACATGGCCACTGGTGCTTCCTTTAGGTTGAAAAAACAAAGAAATGCACCCCACTTTGTGTCCTCTCCGAACTAGTAGAAGAACAAGTACTAGCAAAAACCTATGATCAGTGAGTTGATGTCATAATAATCTGCATTAGACAGATTCCAATTCATTTGCAAATCAAATGGACGGCTTTGGCTTTTCTGAAGGTAGTGCTTTTTATCTGGGGCCAGGAAGATGACTGTGACTCTGGAGCATGTGTATCCTGTAGACTTTTTTTTTGCAGACCCATACCTGAGGTTAAGTGCCAACTCTCTGTGTTTTCTAAGAGCTGAGAGAGTCCTGCCTGACGATTCACTATTCCACGTTACCCTCGGGAGCGTTCACTATTTGTGTTCACTAATCTTAGCCGAAACAGGCTGTAATGCGACCCAGGTTCAGACCAATGATGCCTGGATCATATTGCTCAAACAAGCTCCTTTTCCAGTTAAGCCGCTTGGAGAGCCCCAGGAACAAACTGTTTTGCATGTTAAATGAGAAGGAATAAAATTTGTGAAGCAAACATGCTGAATTCTATTGAAAGTGCCGACATGAGTAATTTTTTGACTTCTTAAAAATGAAAACCCTGCTGGGCAGTAGATTAAGAATTGGCCAACACCGCTTGATATACCCATTGTGCAAGTGTCAGGACAGAATGGAAGTCCAAATTGTAATATATTTCACTGCTGTGCAAGATTTACACCATAGTGTGAGCATAGCCTTCTATGTATAGCTTAACGTTTACTACAAAGGGCATAGATAATTTAAGAAACTTTTTGTGCAGGTGAACTTAACATTTTTAAATAGTATAAAGATTAAAATTTCATTGCTGCAGCAGAAATCTATCTGTATCTAAGTAGTACCTCACACAGCTACACATACTGTGCTTGATATTATTTGTCAGCATTGCCATTTTGAAAATGAGTTAAGTACTTTTGGCATGGGTGTGTCTGGGTGTAATTTGCTTCATTTAATTAAAAAAAAAACCTTCTGTATTCTGTTCTTCTATGATTCTCTGTCTTACTCTGAAATAATTGTATCTTACTTCATTTTTCTTTCACTTTTACAGCAAACCGATGATGGACCTATTGGTTGCTCTTTGCAGTAAATATCATCTGAACCCATCAAGCCACACTATTGAGCTCATCTCAACCAACAGAAACCAAATCAAGTTTAAGCCAAACGCTTTAATAGGGACACTAAATGCAGAAAAGATTATACTAAAACCTAAAGGCACTGATGAAAAGAACAAAAAGGCTGTTCCTCAAATGCCTGAGGTAAAGAAAAATCTGAATATATAACCAGCGAAACTGACAAATCCATTGTTTAACAAATGCTGCGATGCAGTGGTGTCCTGTCCAGCGTGTATCTAGCCTGAGCCTGTTGCTTGTCCGGTTAGGCTCCAGCTTTCTCGTGTCCCTGTTTAGAAAATGGATGGATGATTTAAAAAAATAGGACTGAGATTTGTAGTATATGTATGGACTAAATTTAAGTAATAGTTATTTAATTTACAAGGACAAGTAAGTACGATAGTTACAGGAACAACGATGAGCAACTGAGGAAGAAGAGCTGTGCTATAACTTACTTATTTGCCGTTTGTTATTTTTCTATTAACATATTGAACTTATTAAACTTGTTACTGTTTAGGAAAAGAAATGTTTTACTAGCACCTGAAGTCCTTGGTTCTGGTGTCCTCACAAAGAAAATGTATTTAAAAATATTTGGAATAACCCAAAGTTTTTTTTTAAATTAAAAACATTTTGCCTTGCCTTTTAGACAAACATATCTAGTTTTCTGAGTTTAAAAAGCTGTGGCCTTAAAGTAGATCTGTAGTTCAGAACTAACAAGGATCTTGGACCAGCTGTAAAGAAGCCTCATTGCTTATTTGGTAGAATGTCAGGCAGAATTTCTAGCATGCAATTAAACACCACTAGTAATAAATGCAATAAAAGTAGAAGAAATGAACACCAGTGCCTGGTAATTTTGATCAGTATTAATAGTGGAAGGAAATATTGGTGCATTTTGATGCTTTCGAAAGATGATAACCACGAGCACAGCATGGACAGCACATACTGTTTTGTGTTCACGAACAGCCCTATTGTTTTAGATATGTCAGTTGCTGTGTAAGATGCCAATTAAAATAACATATATAACAGTTAATGTTGAATCACAGTATACTGTAGCATCTTATATGCCAGTTCAATAGGGAGGTTAACAGCCGAAGATTCTAAATTTAGAATGTACTGGGGAAAACAGTGTATTTTGAAGACAATAGGAGCTCTGTGATTTATTGTCTTCTGTTTATTCTGCTGTGCAGTTAATGTATACAAGAAAAACCCCAGCAATATTAATGTTACAAAGCTTGTGCATCTGTTTTGTTGTTTATCTGCAGGCTACTGTTCGTCTTGTAATAAACTATAAAAAGACTCAGAAAACTGTTTTGAGAGTTAACCCAAAAGTACCTCTTGAAGAGTTGATTTCTGCAGTTAGTGAAAAATGTGAATTTGATCCAAAGAGTACGGTATTACTGAAAGATGTCCACTCACAAGAGCCCCTGGACTTGTCAAAATCCCTCAATGATCATGGTATAAGAGAAGTTTATGCAAAGGATGGTAAAGGTAAGAGATGGTACAAGTATGATATATTTTTGCTGTGTTTTATCAGGGAAGAACAATTTTATTGCTTTTTGATCATCATTTTATTTTTTTTTCTGTTGCTTTGACTTTGATCAGTTGTTTTATTTTTTGGAGAATGAACCCATGTTATTATGTCCCACCTGTCCTCCACCATTCTTGACCAAATAGCAGTTGTCTTTGACCTTTCATCACATGTTGAGATTGGCATTTTAAAAGTTAAGTGACTAAGAACCTTTCAGAAAAAAAACAGGGAAACTGAAAATAATTATTTTAATTTTAAAAATTCAGTGTTGGCAGGCTTTTTAAACTGGATATTGTGAAACATATTGTGTTATTAAGCAGTCTGAATTGGCTGCTGTAATGTATTCTGAGTAAACAATTGAATTACACATTTGAGGGTGCTGTTCTGAATTGATTTAAAACTTTATAAACAGAGAAATAAAATGGCAGTAAGGGAAGAAATAAGTACAATTGACCTCTTTACCTTGTCCTGCCCCTGTCGTCTCTGTTATTGGTAATTCAGTTTAAAATACAAAATATTGTAAACTAAAATTGCACTTTGCAACCCTTCTGTTATTAACAGCTGTACCCTTTTGAAGGTAATCATGTTAAGATTTAACTCTATACAAAATTTTATAAGTCACTGATAAAGGTTTTTCATGAAAAGTACAGACCAGAACAGAATGTTGACTACATTCATTATACTGTAATGATGTGGTCTTTCCTTAACAGGTGTTGGTTTAACAGATTTACAGGTCTCTTCAGTACATCAAGGTAACATCTACATTTTTATTATTTAATGAAAAATATGTAAAGTGCAAATTATATGACACTATAAAAATAATAACCGTCCAATTCTTAATTTGTGTTTGAAAAACTGATACTCTAGCACTGATGAATTGTTAATTCTAACGTTTTACTCAGATCTATCACCTTGCAAAACATATCTGCAGTTGTTAACAGTATCCTCCAATGAAAACAGATACTGAAATTTTTTATTTGCATTTTTAGAGAACATAAGCCAACCAAACAAGGACAAAATTTTGAAGGAGAAAGAAAAAGGATTTTTCAGTATATTTAGAAAAAGTAAGAAGAAACCTGATCAGGTACAGTATGTTTTTTTTTCTCTTTCCCTTCAAAGAGCCTTGCCTCTTAGTAAAGATGATGTGCTTGAAAGAGATGGAATGTGAATACTGTATTTTTGTCATTGTTGTGTTGAAGTCTGCCACTGCAAGTGCTCCAGCATCGCCAACTTTAAACCAGCAGAGGCCTGGCAGCATGAGCTCACTGAGCGCCCATGCCTCTATGTACAATTCCAATACACTGCCATCTGAAATGCCAAAGAAACGACGGGCCCCACTGCCGCCCATGATGGTTTCACAGAGCTTCCCAACAAACCTGAGTGAATGTCAAACTAACGCACAGCCTGAGGCTTCTCCTACAAGTGATCAGGTGAGCAAGTAAATTTAGATTCTTGAATAAGGTTTCTTGAACTGCGTTTGTGAAAGGGAATCTTCAGTTTTGCCATTTTTTGCACTGATAATGGAATTTGCAAACCATCCATTACTAGGAAGCTGTTTTTTTCCAGTATTCCTAGTAAGAGTTGTGGATACCCGGAATTTTAATTATACTGGGAGCATAGGAGGCAAGGTGGGACAGTACTGTCTACAGAATTCCAGTCTATCACAGCTTCCACAGGGATGGAATATTTTACTTCTCTTCTTAATAATTATTTTATTTTGTCCCTGGTAGTTGTGAAAAGACTCATATCTGTAAAAAAAACATTGCTTCTGAATCTCTAGTCACTTCTAATCTGGATTTAATAGTTTTTGAGCTGTGTACTCTTAGCTTCTTTCCTAGTGCTGGCAGATGCAGATTATCAAAACTTTTTAAAAATGTCCATGTTATACCGTCTCTATTTGTAAGTAGGTTTTACAAATATGTACAATCTATAGACAAATATAGGCTGTATTACATCTGGACATTTTTCTCTCCTAAGACATTTTTTTTTCTAATTTCAGACATTTGGCTCTCTTTGTTCTCAATAGACGTATGATATCATTATCTGGTATGGTTCTTAAACTTCAGTGTAAGAAGAATAGAAGACTGCCCCATTTTCCGAGCGTTCTCAATCTGATTTATTTACAGAGTCATTTAAGGCTTAATGCTGCACCAGTGTACAATTTACTTATTTACTTTTTAAAAGATTATCTAGAGACCTTAAGAGACAATATTTTAGTTTATCCAAGACCAGTACGTCTGAGAGAATTAGGTATTTGCTGGCAAATGTCCCAGATCAGTGCAGTTCTTTTTAGAAGAGGTTGTTTGGTTCACTTGTGCAATGATACACCTTTCTTTCTGCAGGCATTTTTTTCTTTGCGGAAATCTTATGGTACATTGTTTTCTAACCACAATCTAGAATTTCAGCATCTGAAATGCATCTAAAAACTCGACACAGGATTTGATTATATTTTTACCCAGTAAAATGCTAACATACTGTATGAAAGTACATCTTTATGTATTTAAGATAAACTGTAGATTCCTTACTACAGAGCCAGTAAATTCCATTTTAGCTCCTGATTTCACTGTTGTTAATCATTGAAACACAGCAAAAATCTCATTGATCATAAGCAATCTAAGCTTATTTGGGGAAAACTGTAGAAATTTAGGAGTATTTTGCTATGTGATTTTTTTATATCTTTATAAAGACACATTTGCAACACAGGTATGGTTGTATTTCTGATGATGCTGTACAAAAAGGTGGAATATTTTAAATACTTTTGTTGTGTTTTTAGACTTGTAGTGTATCTGGTGCACCAGAAGAGGGCTCCTTGTGATTGTATGCAACCAAAAATAACATTTACTGATATATTAAATATTAAAGACAGAATTGTTACCAAAACTGAATTTAATCTGACAGAACGTTGAATTTTTAAGCAGTCATCCCAGAACTGGAAACATTGTAAAATGACAACACACATAGGCTGTTGTCAAACACTTCATAGTAAATAAAAAATCCTATCAGGTCTGTGATGTGTTGATGTGGGGGAAGAAAAGCTCAGCATTGCTTAAGCCAGATACTTTGTGCCATGGATTGAATAGTCCAATGCATGACAGGAGTCTGTACATTGATTTCTGCTCTTTGTTTTCCCTGGATTTTCAGCAGTGTTTTTTTGTAAACTGTAAATAAAAGAAAGATTTCAACACAAGTTTGAGAGCTGCTATCTTAAAGCTCATCTTGACATATTTGAAACAGTGCCAGGTTCCTGTTAATCAGCATTTGTGTGGAGTGTTTTTTTTCTGTGAAAATTCATTGGAAAAGGTTCTGATTAAATTGCATGTATGAGATTTGTTAAAACAAAAACGAATTTGTGGCAGAGCTTCTCCATAAGACAAATCTCTGCAAAATATATCTTGGGGAAAAAAAAACCTTTTTTTTCCCGTTGCTTCAATGCACAAGTAAGCAGGAAGGTTTTGAAACAGTACACAATAATTATCTCCGTCTAATACTTTTAAAGTCATGTTTTATTTACTGTTTAGTTTCAATGCTCTTTTAATTTCAAGTAGGTTTAGCCTGCTGTATATAGAGTAGTTTGCTTACAAACTAGAGTAGAACAGTTACAGCTTATATTATTTTCTCCTAAACATACTGTACATGTAATTGTGAATTTTACAGTCATACAACTGTTTTTAACTGAACAACTCTATATACTCCTTCTTCTCTGAATCGCATGTGCTTTTCCCTCCCCAGTTCTATCACTGTGAGTAATGAAGTGGTTGTTGTTATTTTATAGTGTTTTTTTTTGTCTCTCTTCAGGATTTGCCAGGACTTAGCAGAGGTTCATCTTCAGAGTCATCTTTGAAAAGAACCAAGAGAAAAGCACCCCCACCTCCATCACCTCCAAGCAAAATTGCACAAGATGAGGATCTGCAGGACAGGAATATTAAAGGTATTTCTGGACCCCTTGATTTATTTTTACATAAGTCAATGCTAATTAAAACATATTGTCCGTGTTGAATAATCAGTATGTGCAATATTCCAAAAACTTTTTTTAATCTCTTTTCCATAGTTTAACATGTAGATGTGTACAGTCACACGACTTGACCCGATTGTATAAAAGGAAATTATGTTTGACTGGAGTTTAAATCTGTATCACAGACCTTTAATGCATTTTGAAAGCAGGATGGTCACTATAGCTATTGAATAAAACTCATTATCAAGTTGTGGATTTATATTTTATGTATAATTTTTCATTATATGTGGTTTGGTTCAAACTGTCTGTGACATACAAAATGCAAATAGGTGCTAGTCACCCAGATTTGACATGTGGAAGCTGCACCTGGACACCCAATTACCTTTTAATTTTCAGTACTGTAAATGTTTAAATGCTTCCTTTTTGCTCAATTGTTTTTTCCAAGCGCAATATCTACTGTATTCCTACAAAATCAGGTTCTAAACAGACTTGATTGATGTAAAAAGCTTTGCAAAAAGCACACCAAAGGCCTTAAAATGTTTGTTGAATCATTTCAAACCTTTCCTCTCAATCTTTAAAAAGCTGTACTTTGTGAACATTCCAAGTAATAATCTGAACGGAACCAACCAGACAATCTTCCTGCTATAGAATATTTTAAGAGCAGTGCTTCTACTGTAACTTGTAGCCTGAACTCATGAAATCTTAGAAGCTACTGTAAGCAGGGCTAAGGCTGGTCAGTAGACTTCCCCTAGCCTTGCTTAGATGGGATACATGTACTCTTAAGTGAAACCAAATTCTACAAATGTTTGCTGTTGTAAGTGCTGTTGGTGGACCAGTAGGTCAGTAGGACATTCTTCTGAGTGCCTCAGTAGGGTAACCATGCTGTGATGTAGGAGACACCTTTCTTTAGATGAGACGCTATCCTGAGGTCTTGATTATTTGATTTTGATAAATCCTTTGGTACTGTTCATAAGGGCAAGGGAGTTAAACCCAGTTTCCTGGCTAAATCTACCCAGGACTTACTCTGTCTGGGTTACCTACATTTCTCACTTAGTTCAACAGGTGACTTTTCCACCTGGGTTTCTGTGTAATGAAGCTGCTGGTGCACAAGGGCTGTAGTGTTGGTTGTATTGGGTATCCTCCTATATGTAAAAACTGTGAGATCCTTTGGGATGGTAAATGCTACGTAAAAGGCAATTATAATAATTGTGTACATCAAAGCAGGTGAAAACAAGCTGACTGTATTTTTACTTTTCAATAGTCAATAAATGAAATTAACTGATATTGTAAGTAGTTCTCCTTTTGAATTTCTCTTACCATTCAGCAATAGCTTCCATATTTTACCACTTTCTGTATTCTGGAAACGCAACAGTAGAGAGGCTGTATTAAGAATTTAGTTTGATAAAAAAATCTTTACAATTTCATGTTTCTATAAGTGCTTTCATACTATTGCTCTTATTTTCCGTTTGTCCTGATTGTGATGTTAGTAATAAAAAATGGAGAATCCAATTGCTAGTAACATTTATCACCTAGAACTGAAACTAACATTTCAACACTTCAGAACTGATATTTTGATAAATAGCTGGCTTTCAGCCCAGGTAAACTGGTTGTACTTGCTCACAGCAAATGTTCCAAATATATTTTAAGGTAACAGGTATTTTCAAACCATAGAAAACAATCAGAAAACATGTTAGAAACTAAGTGGAAGGATGAGCAGAAAAACGTCTAATTAAAAGTGCAATGTCCAGTGTCAATGTTTAGTAATTGCAAATAAAGCAAAAAAGACCAAATGCTAGCAAACTTAATTAACTGTATCAGCTATACTACTGTATACTATGATACTTTTGCTTAGGTAAACCGATGTGGGTGAAACTTAATGTGTTAGATATTCCTTTGTGCATATACAGTATTTGTACTGCAGCCTAATGCTGATAACTTTGGCTCGTTTTTTGTTGATGATTCCACATAATGGCTACAGTTGCTACCCAATCAGCAGTTAAAGAAATGGGTTTGTATTCACTTTTTTAAACTGTGAAGGTTCCTGTTATAAATAGGCCTTTTGGCCTTTTAGCTGTTTGAACTTTAAATTAAGTGATGGGCATTAGTAAAAGCAAAAGGTGTTGTAGTACTGCTGATCGTTGTTGTCTACAGAACAGAGAAATCCAGAAGATTTTGGAATTAGAAATATACAGTGCAGTACATATTTAAAGTTCTTCCTGTATTGTGAATACTGAGGCAGTACTGGTATTCTGTATTCGTATACTTCAGTAGCCCTCTGGTGGCTGAACATTGCCTTACAGAGTTAATTTCAGTGGCTTTGTTCCTTTGCAAATTATCCTCCACATTTGTACTCTTAGAAGTTAATGTAAAGCAGAACTACCCTGTGCATGTACAAAACTGGACCTTGCAATTGTTCAACAGGGATGCCAGTTTTTTAGCAGCACATTAGAATTTATGCTCTTTCTTTCCCTTGTTGTAAATGGCAATGTGTGGCTTATTTGGATAAAAATCATCATATTTTTCTTCCAATCTGCAGAGCCGTGAGTTGCAAGAAGGAGGTGCATGTCTGAACTGTCCCAAGCTTCCTCTCCTCTGTACCTGCTCCAAGCTTCTGCTTTCAGCTCTGCAGTCATCTTTTTCCTTATGTGGTGGCTCCTTATTTCTCACATACTTGTTGTCTTTTCAGAGACTTTTGTCCTTATTTTTTCTGTTTTTTTCTAAATGTATTTTCTCCCTTTATCTTGTGCTACCTAATATTTACTTAAGTGACATTTTGTCTGTGTAGTCCATTAAAGTGTTCTTGATGTACATAAGATTTAGTTGAATAGAACAGTTTACTCCCATTAATCATATCAATCTTTGTTCCATTAATTGCATTATCCATTGTTATTTGCAAACCATTTATGAGAGTAATGCAATTCAACCTTAAAAACTCTTGATGATTACAAAGCTAATATTTATACACTCCAAAAATCAATGTCTTCCATACGTCAGCCACAACCTATGTGTGACGGTATATTAAAGTGCTGTTTCTTTTTTTAAACTCCTAGGAATTATCTAGACATACTTTTAGAATGCAATGTTTTTTACATGCATCTTTGTATGAGAACAGAAGGTGTAAAATACAAAAAGATATTTAATTATAAATATTTAAAGTTTAATAAAAACCCACATAAATTTTAAGAATTAGGTTTTGAAGAGAAAAGGGTCTTTCCTACTTCACTCCATTTTACACTTCAAAAATGCTTTTTTAATTAGTTAAAAAAATACTTTTATCTTGACGCAGAAGGTGCATGTTTGTATTTAGAATTTCACAAAAGTTCTGAAGTCCCCACAAAAAAACTGAATGGAAGAAACAACATAAGCAAAGCACCTATTGGCACAATTGGATATTTTACATAGCAGGCCTGATAGCAATTGGACAGGATATTGTGAGGGCGATAAAACTGTTTGCTCTTTCATTCTAAGGCGTGTGCTTTACTTGTAATTCCTAATCGTGCCTTACCCCAAGAAAAAGGTGTACAATATCCCATGACTGACTGTAGTAATTATCAAAGGCAGTCTTGTACTTTTTTAAAATTTTGTGATGATTTCAAGAATATGTTCATCACTTTCACACAGTCATTTATCCAACAGTACATTGCAACAGACAGGCAACTGACGCAAGGCATGCCAGTTACATGACTATTCTCCCATCTTCAGAAAATGTGCTTGGCAGCCGTTTCTGTAGAAATTTAGGATTCCTTTTTCTTGTAGGGTCTCAGCATTATATACAGAATATACACACTTTTCATAAGTAACAGGTCTTTATTTGTAAATATGTGAAAATGAATTTGTAATTTCAGTGTTGTGGCCCATAGCAATTTTACTGTGATTATTGTAACACAGAAGTGTTGAAATTATTTTTTGTCATTTGATTTTAATGGGATTGTGTCTTAAATGAGCATGGCAAAGTGCTGTATTTCTCATGCTTTGTGTCTTGTGTTGTTTGTTGGTCTTTTGTACATGTTGACTTGCTCATTCCACCCTCAGTAGTTATTTCATCCTGGTAACAAAGGAAAAATCCTGGAAAGATCATTTTTTTAATGTCAGTTTTGCTGTGTGTTTTCATTTACCATCTAACTTAAACACGTTGAGTTCTAGCTTTTTTAATTTCATGTTAATGTATTGTAGCTTGAATATTTCTATACTGTAGATTTAAATAAACAGTCCTGAGCTAAGTACTTTTTTTGTGATTCAATTATACTGTAGTTCCTGTTTTTCACAGAATCTTCGACTGTGATTGCATTTATGTTTACATAGAAATGTTATTTCTTTATTTTTTTCTTCATTTGTAATCCTGTAACTATACTTATGATAGCCCCATCTAAATATTTTGGTTTTTAGCTTGCTTTATCGTATACTTATTTATAAAAAATGAAACAACATGCAATACAGTAAATGCAAGTCAGACAAGACACCACAGTTGGCTGACCTAAATCCCCATATCATTCTTTTGTGATATGCCTTGAAGTTAAGAATAAATAACTCAGCAGGATAGCTGCAAAATTAAAGTATGCTTTTAGAAACCCCATAATTAACTGTGGTTCACTTGGGGTTGAGCATTCCTAGTGTTAAAACTGCTTATCTTCAGATTTACTATAATATCCTATTCATGAGGTCAACTTTTAGCGAGCTTTTTTTTTGTTAGTGTAATGTGTACTCTGAGGGGAAAAATGAATCTGTGTAGTAAAGGATTAAACATTTAGTTTTAGAAGGTCAGTTAATTGAAAGAAAAAATCAATTCTACTTAGACCTTAAATATTTTGTCTTTCCCCTTTGTTTCTACATTAATGTTGTCTTAAATGCAGTTCTTATAGTATGCATTGATTCTTTTATAATTGTTCATTTTCAAAGCATCAGAAGCTTTCTGGAAAATTAATTTTCTTTTCTTTTAAATGTGGACCAGCTGGGGTAACCTCACCGTGTATTCTCGAAGAAATTAATGAGAAAGAAGAAATGGTTTGCACAGCTGCTCAGGATGCAGGTACTACTGCTGTCACTCAAGCTGGAGAGCACAGACCCCACACTTCTGCTGATGCACCGTCAGACACTGGGAAAATTAAGCTCACTTCACTGCCCACTGATGTTGAGATGCCGAGCTCCTCAACATCTAAAAGCGAGGAGGAAGATAAAATGAATGACGTATCCACAGATGGCAAGTACGAACTCTCATAAAGGATACTTAATGATCAACCACCTGATAGTATGCTTTCATAAATTTACAAATGTAAAAAAAAGCCAAGTTCTTTGCATCTCACTTTCAGACATACAGTAATCTTGCCGCATTAACAAAATGCAGCATGCTCAGACACCTTCTTGTTGTGAAGAGCAAACGCCTTTAAAACTTAATTTGAAAGTTAAGTTAAGCATTGTACACATACAATAAAACCGTTTTCTATTAGCTTATTCGATTCGTAGGTTTCTTGGTGTTCAAATCAACATTCAGACTGCAGTTGTCATAGATTTGGCACAATCTTGTTTGTTTCAGATCTGTGAAAATGTATTTACAGGGAAAATGGAAGATTATAGAAATTGTGTTTCAAGGATGTAGCTAATGAAAGACAGTGTGACATTTAGAACTATTACATTTCTTACCCGAGTCATATCGTTTTTATATGTTGTAATGTCTAGTGGGATTGTGTGGCTCTGGTGAGGTGATCAATAATTGAGCAATGCGCATTGTTGTAAGTGAACCAGAGTTGTTTAATGTGTTTAATGGAGTATTTAATACAACATCGGTTTGTGTTACATGGCAAATTGTTTGCCACGTATCCTGAAGACAAGCAACTTTCTAAAATAGCCTCACAATGCTGAAGGAGATGCATATCAGTTATACCTTTTGGCACAGCATGATGTTTGCATATTGCCCATGCACATTGTGATCTTTAAACATGGCTTTTATCTTAAAGAAGCCTTTTTAAAGGCTATTTTTTTAAGAATAACTAGCTCTCATCACAAAGAACAGAGTGAAAAATAAAACACAGTATGTATATATCCCAGTATCTTATGGTGGAAACTTCCCTTTAAATGTCAAATTTGCTACTTTTAAAAATGTTTTGTGTTTCCTTAATTTAGCTTCTTTCTGTTGTAACATTTTTGTGCAAATTAAACTTCTGTTTTGACAGACAATCTATTTACCTTGTAAGCAACAGGGAGTGTGACCAGCAGATATTAAAAGTCAGCGAGGATTCTGTTACTTCTGGTTTGAATCACGGAGGTGAGTTTCTATTTCGGATTACATTGGATTCAATTCAAGCAATTTTGATTTATTTGCAGCTGTAATCTTATTTCACTTTAACTTAAACAATTTCTCTGAAACAAATTTCTCTGCTTCTGTTGTTGGCTACATAATTTATCGATAATACTGGAAGTTGTTTGCTGTGCCTTTTCGGGATATTGCTATCATATTGTTAATATGAAATGTAACAATCCTGAGAATCAGTATCTTAAACACATATAGGTGCATTTTAGTCATGGGTAAAACCTCTTTGGTGTAAACCTCACGTTTTTGATGGGGTAAATAATGGAATATCTAATTTTAGTTTTGATTTTTTTATTTGAGATTCCCTCAAAATGCACTCTTTTTGATTACTTTCAGAAGACAGTGAGTCAAGTCCCACTGCAAAAACAGAGGACCAGCAAAGTACGAACAATGAAAGCAAGATTGATAATAACACAGAAGTGTGTATATCTCTTCAAAGTACACCTGCTGACCCCTCCAATTCTCAGAAGAAAAACGCAAAGCCTGTAATGCATGATGTAGCCATACAATCATCAGATTTCAGCAGCAATGGGAGACATGTCAAAGAGCAGTCAGATAAAGATGAAACCGAAGGGATCTGCAACACAAGGTCTTCACAAGATAAAGATATTGAGAGCCAAAATACAATTAAATCATATGCTACGTCTTCTGCTGGAGTTCAAGATAGTTCTACTTTAACTGAACTGTGTTCAGCTGAAATGGGGGGATTGAAAAAGGATATGGCAACCTCCACCGAGGAATTAAGCCCAAGAGAAAGTGTAACAACATTACCTCAGGTGACAGAAGGGACATCTGAATGCCAAATAGTGGCAGCACAAAGTCCTCCAATTTATAAAAAGGATTCAGAACCTAAGCCAAAGCCTTCTAATGAGGTCACAAGAGAATATATACCAAAGGTTGGATTGACTACTTACAAAATTGTGCCACAAAAATCATTGGAAAAACTAAAATTCTTTGAGGTCCAGTTGACTTTGGAGGTCCCAGATGAGACTAAGGATCAGGGGCTATCTGTTAATTTTCCAGAGCATTCAGACATTCACTTACCAACCAAAGTGCCACAGGATTCAGTGGATTACAAAGCCACTGACTCAAATGGAATCCACAATTTCAAACCCAGTAGTGTATCTGAAGTGAACAGTAACCACACAGCTAATAATAACATAGCTCCTTTCTCACCTTCTCATGCAGCTCATGTAATTTGCAAAGGTTCTTCAAAAGACAGCAAACCTTTATCTCCCTCAGAAACGGGCAACCTGCTGCCTTCCACATCGGCAGTAAAAGAAAAGAAAATTCCACCTGCAACTAAACCAAAACCTGGCTCTTTCCGCTTATCACAACACAAAAGAACACCTGGGGATTATGTAACTTCAGCAGCTATTAAAAATGTGAGTGCATGTTCTGGCTCTGGTCATAATGAGACTCTGAGGAGCCCTGGAAAAGAGAAGGATACAGTGCCTGAAAAGCTGCTTGATGTAGAAGATGAAAACTATTTTCCTCCACCCCCTCCTCCAGTACAGTTTGAAGAAGTATCAGGAGAAAGCTTTCAGGAAGAGGCTAAGCCTGCTAATAAGACTGTAGACATTCCAGCTTCTAAGTTCACAAGGCAGTTCAGTCTTCCCTCTAAAGAGCCAGCAGAGTTAAGTTTAGAGAAACTTAGGAGTTTTGCTGCTCCAAAACCTTATACTCCTAGCACCCCATCGCCCTTCGCTCTTGCTGTGTCTTCAGCAGTCAGGCGGACACAGTCCCTAAGCCGGAGGCCTGTTCCTACTGTTCATACCTTTCGAGGTTTACCAAGCTCAGCCTATCTTAGGAGGTCAGCAGCAGAACCTGGAAAAGCTTTACTGGATTCTTCTCCGGTGAGTTTTAAATGTGTTGTGTGTCTTGACAAGTTGAGAAAGTAGAGAATTATCTTCTGAATTTCAATATCACATTCTGTATGAATGAAACAAAATCACGACTTTGGACTGTTAATTTGTCTGCAGATTTGTTGCTTTTCTCACAGTAGGTGATATGTAACTATTCTGTGTTAGAAGATTGATTGCTTGAGTTACCCTCCCTTCTCTTTTCTGTTTGCTTGCTGTAAAACAGCCTGAGAGCAGCAATTGACTCCTTTTCTTCTGACCCTTTATTGTTAATTTTTCACACTGAGGATCGATCTGTGTTGCACTCCTGAATCTTATTTCCATTGCATGGAATGGACGTTATCACTGAACCAATTAAAATAATTGCACCTGTAATGTTTCATGGTCCCCAATCTGTGGACTTAAAACGTATTTGAAAAGAGATTTACAATCTGTTATGTAAAAAACATTCTTTGAATTTTTTGTGATCGCAATTTTGTTGTGAGGAATTTTAGATGGTTGGAAATGTGTATAAAATGGCCTTGAGAAGGTCAACATTTTTTATGCTGATAGTCATTTGATTCTGTGGGGAGCAGAATGGCAGTTAGAATACAGTAGCTGCCCACCAGTACTGGAGCACTGGGTTCAAATTCCAGGCCTAGGGTGCTATCTGCTTGGTGTTTGTGTGTTCTGCACGTTTTTGTGTGGGTTTCCTGCTGGAGCTCTGGATTTCTTCCCAATCCAAAGATATTCTAGAAGCTTAATTGAAACTGTCCCTGGTGTGAGTGTGTGCGTGTCTGTGTCTGCCCTGCGATGGACTGGTATCCTGAGGATATTTTTCCTCTCCTCCTTTAGGCTAGGCTCCAACTCGCCCACAACCCCTTATTTGATAAAGCAGTTAGAAAATGGATACATGATTCTGTGGGTGGATTGATGGTTGGTCCTGTACTAATGCTTTCTGCATATTTATTTGAGGAAGCAACTGTGGCTTCTCACTTGAGGGAGAAGGTGAAATGTGGCATACTGAAAGCAATTTTGTGTAGCCAAGTACTAGGACCACATATTTTACTAGGGTCTGGTATCTCTAGAAGAAAGATAGAAAAAGTCAAAACAGCAATAAATTGGACTTCTGGTTTAATAAATATGTCCTTGTGGTGCAGGTATCACTTCCCATTTTAAATCATATCCTGATGGGGAAACTGCTTGACTCCAGTGGTAATGGATCAGTACAGTTTATTCACATAAAGATCAGCTAGAACACTGGAGTATATTAGACTTTCTCTTATCTTAAGAATGTTGTTTAGGTGTTTTATGTTCAACTAGTGTGTTTTCAATTTTTGTCTGCTCTTGCATAGCAAGAATGATTGGTTTTCTTTTTTGGGGTATGAAGGAACGTGACCACCAGGACCGTAAAGAAGGAAAAATGAAATTGCCCATGGAAGAGCACATCTGTAGGAGCGAAGACAATGGCATTCCTGTTTTAGCTTCACACCCAAGTGGCCAAGGCATGTTCCACAAGACTTCACTGGAAGCTGTGCAGTCTGGAGATGTAGCCGCCAAACAGAAAAATGTAAGTGCGAATGCTTCAGCAGGGGGAAAAGAGGTTGTTGCAAATGTAAAACTGTAGCTTATATGTCCAAAAGATTCCCTGCCATGGCAGCTATTCTTGTTCACAGGTGTTCCTGAGTCACAGGTATGGTCTCAGCATTGCTAAACATCTTATCAATGTAGTTTTGGGGGACATGGGGGGGGTTGGTCGTTGTGCCATCTGCATACTGGTAGTGGTCCTAAAAGTTTTTTAGCGGCGCAGTGGTGGCAGTATAATCATATTCTAGTATGATTAGATTATACTATAGAATTAGTATAATCTTATCTGTTCTTATCTATTCACATAGCCACATTCTAGCACTTGACATGCTGACACCTCACTGCAGCTTCTGAATGTATGTCAAAGCATCCTGTGAGCAGAAAAACAAATCTGTCATTTTATAACATCTTCTTCTGTGGTCAGCCTTGTGCATTCTGTGGCAGGGAGCCCTGTGACAAAGGCTGTAATGTCAGTGGGATTGCTACTACTGTAGAGGCCATTTGGAAGCATTAAATAACATGTATAAAAGGTTGAGCAACAGCAGTCAGCAGCAGAACAGTTTAGGGAGAGAAAGAAGAGGCACAGGGAGGTAACCTCAGCACTTGAGCGATGTTAGTTTACAGATTCCATGTGAGAGTTAATTAATTTTGTGAAACAAATATGATGACTAAAGCTGTGAATGCTCTGAAACTCCTAACAGTCCAAAAGTACATCTGTGTTTGGAATGGGTCATGTGTGAAAGCCCTGTTAGCCGCAGGCAGGGAGTTTCCACACCTTGCATACAAAAAAAAAAGTCCACATACAGTACGCAGATGTCACGGGCTGATTGTCAAAACTGACAGGTGGAAAATGGATCTATTGCCAGAATTGCTTTTTCCAGATGGCTGAGAACACCATTATATTCTGAACTGTGGTTGCTGTACCTTTTGAGCTAATATTGAATGCATATGTGAAAAACCAGCTGTGCATAATTGGAGTTGGTCTATATGTATTGCATAACATACCTGTTTCGTGTTTTTATTTCTTTAGGTTCCCAGTGTTTCAGATGCAGTGGCTGTTAATGGAGGCACAACAGCAGGTCACCCTGCTACACAAGTAGAGTGACTGTGTGTAGAACTATTCAGCCATCTTAGTGACGCAGCATGCAGAGTGATCAGAAGACAGTTCGTAATAGTCGACAGTATGAAAGAAAATGAAAGGTTGGATATGAGGTCCTAGTGGTGTAACTGCTGTTTTTTTAGCCATTTCTTTCTTCGATGAAAATGTTTGGTGATAAAAATTATTACTAATTAAGTCTAATATTTTGCAAGAAGTGCTTATTCTTTAAAATGTAAGAATTTGGTTCATGGAGAATTTATGCTCCATTGGGTTTTCTGGTTTTATAAATATATATGTAAAATTCAAATTTCAGGTCTCGTCTAAATATGACTGAAAACGTCCCTCTGTTATGTTGCCTTAATGTATTTTTGTTTCATTTAAATTATTAGGGTTAAATGTAAGTTGTAATTTTCCTCCACAAAAATATGTAGATTTTGAGATGGTCTGTTGGAGTGACATGAAGATATGGTACTGATTTATTCAAGTTCTTCAATAAATTTATATCCTTGAATTTTATTATTTTTGTATTTGATTATAATAAACCTGAAACTGTATATCTCTGAATGTACTTCCCAATCAATAACTGGTTTGTGTTTATATAGAAATAACCTCCTCAAAATACAGTTGTAAATTTCGTAATCTCAGCATTGTCATATTTGCATTATTAATCTTTGTACACAGTCACTGCCATTGACTATTACTTGAATTTTAGGCATTAAGAGAAACAGAGCTGCTGTCTAACTACAAACAAACATAACTACTATTCATGTTACTGCTTTGGTAATGTTCTGCTTTCTTCCTGAAGCTCTCTGAGCACTGACTTTAATTACACAATTACAGTAAGTAACACACAGACACTTTAAGTGAAGAAGCCCCACAAGACAGTGAAAATTAGTGCTTTACCTCTGTTTTTCCTTTTTGGATCAAGGCTGTGTGTGACCCTACTGACTATGTGAATATCATTTGGCTGTCCCAAATTGTGAGCCAGTAGCAACCCCTGATGTTCCCTGGGTGACTATGAAGCAGCATTGTGTGCGTGCATCTTCCAGTTTCTCCAATTTGCAAATTAGGTTAAAATTCTAATGGTAAAATGAACCAATAAATATTCTGTATAAGGGATACTTAAGGCTTTGGCTTTAACTCACCTGGTTGAGGAAATGATAGTACTAGATAGAGATCAATGGTATCACGTCCCTCCTCACTTATTAGGAATGAGCCAGAGAGAAAACTCTGCAGTGGCAAAGCTGAGATGCAGAGAGGTTTGCTAGAAGAGATCCATACACTGCTGTGTGCAGCAGTGGAGCTTCTATGCATTGGAAAGTGAGAGGTTAGAATTTGACTCAATTCCAAACTACTGTTTAACTAAACACAGTGGAGAAAACCAACAGATTACGTTCCACCTATGATTTAAGTGTAAGTGTTTAATCTCTTAGGTCAGTATATAGGTACAACAGTTTGGTTATCTAGCAAGTTTAGATTTTAAATTGGTGAGTAAATAAATTGGCATTTTAAAGTGAAAATTCAAGATGGACATACTGTATAAAAGGAAATTCGCAAATAAAATGAAATTTGCAAAGCAGTGCAACGATGAATCATTAGAGACTGCAGGTTGAGTCCTGTAATTCTGATGTAGCTGGTTTACTGTAAGTCTGACTCATGTCACTGTCCACGTCACTTGTGCATAAAGGCCAGGGTCGGCTTTCTGTGCAGGTCATTGAGAAATGTGCCAATCCTCCAATCAGTGCTATTTCTTCTGTGAGTCACTATGGAGCATATTAAGCATATTGAAACATGTTTGAGGACTATGACTGGGTAACATTTTTCTACCAGTGCAGTAACCAAATTTAAACTTTAACAATTAGTATGAACAGTTATTGGTTCCAAACAGGGTTGGTATGATAAAAAAGTAACTCAATATTCCAAAACAACAACAAAAAAGTTGTCATTGATCTTTTAGAAGAGATGTACAATAGTGGACAGTATCCATTAGTACAATCCTTATGTGAATAAATGTCTTCTATTTCCTGGGAGGTGCTTTCAAACATGTATGTATTCATATATAGGTATATAAGAAAATCTGTGTAGTGGGCTACATTACATTAATTAAGTAAAGATAAATTGTTGAAATCATGGTTCATGAACAGAATGAAATGTTGATTTTGAGGTGCTGTCAAAACATTGTCAGCAATACTATACATCTTATTTGCCATGTTTATGGCTTTTCTAAATATAATCAATTGTTATATTTCCAGGGTTTTGTTCCTTTTGTGATGGCCTTTAAATTTTACAAATTGTAATTTACAATCATACAATATGAAGGTGAATGTGTATTTTTATGCTTTTAACAATTTTTAATTTTTACAGTGCACTTAACTGTAAAAAAAAATAATAATAGTAACCAAATTTTGATGCATGTGTGTTTCTTTGTTTGCATGTTTGTATGTATTTTTTAAATTCAGGTTAGAAAAGGTCACTGTCATCAAGACAGTTTCATTAAAACGATTTAAAGCATAATCAGATATTAAGTGCTAGTGTTTAGGATTCTTGTTGTTTAGACTTCATATAATACTTAGAAATTGTTCTCCGTTTTCTTAAAAGGTCATATAAAAATCAATTTGTGCATATTTTTCACAAATGTCTTGGAAATTACAGTATATTCTGTATTATGGTACAGTATACTTAAGAAAAACGTGGTTTGCTTTATAATGTGCTCAAATTAGCATGGGTTGTTCAGCATCTCTCTACAATCAATGAGTGCTATTGTTCAGTGAAATATAATTGAGACAACTCAAGGGTCTTTTCTCTGTTCATGTTTTCAGAAATGGTAGAAACGTAATTAGTGTTTTACCGTGATTCAGCTTAGTATATAAAAGCTTAGGTTGTGTGGTTGCTTTGGCTACCACTGGTTTCAAGAAGATGATGGTTTTCAGTATTTCATGTGGTTCCCTTCCTTTCTATTGTTTTAGCAGATAATAGTGTTGCAGTAGAATAATGTATGTATAATTTAAGAAAACAGCCAGAGAACTGCTGAAGTACTGTTTTATGACATACATACAGTAAGAGTAAAACAGATCTTTTTTTTGCTTAAGCATTTTTTTCCGGTGGTTTATAAGCAATTAAAAGAAAACTAAAATTATCTGATTTTAAATTTTGTTCTGATCCATCTTAACACAGGGATAACAGACCCATCTAAAAGTTACGAAGCACTATAACATCCAGTGTATGTCAATACGCTGTTATGTTACAGTGTAAAATGCATAAGGACAAAGTTTTTGAAAAAAACTTTTTCTATCCAAATACAAATCATCAAGTTCTAGCTTTTTGATATATTTCTGAAGTTCCCAGTAAACACAACAATGCATTTAATATTGAGAACAAAAGGCATTTCTTCACACAGAGGGTTGTGGGAGTATAGAAAACCCTACCAAGCCATGTTGTTGATGCTGATACCCTGGCTTCCTTCAAGTCACACCTGGATGAGATTCTTGGATCAATTAACTACTAACAAACTGGTTAAATGGACCGCATGGCCTCCTTGCATCTGTGACCAATCTTATTTTATTTTAAGCAGATTGTTTTAACATAACAAAAGATACATTTTACAGATACTGTATTATGCTGTTGTGACATTAACTTTGCTTCTGGAAAGAATCAAACTAAAGATGTTAGGTTACAAACCAGAGGGGGCCTTTAACCCATCTAGCTCATTGAGTTTCTAGCAGATAAATTGGTCAGAAGGATCTCATCCAGCTGTTTCATGAAGAAAGCCAGGGTGGCAATTGTATTTGTATCCTCTGGTTGGGGTTTCACTATTCATTCAATGTTTGTCTGGGTAGACTTTGTTATTGCCTTTTAGGATATTCATTACCTGAATTGGGTGTCCTTATTATCTTTAATTTTGAAAACTAATAGATTCTGTTCCTGTAGTGTGTCATTGCAGGATATTAATTTAAGCACTGATTGCTTTTGTGTTTTCCAGAGCAGCAATGTGTTTTTTAATGCTATATACAGTATAGTATGATTCTATACAGTACAAATTAAGTAGACTAGTGGTCCTAAGACCACTAAAGATTCATGTGGTACCAAATACATGCATTACCTTGAACTTTATCAAATACAATACTTGATCATGTAAATGTACTTTGACATGTATTCATAAAAAAGTTAAACAAGGCCTGTTTTCTAAATCCATGTTGAATATTCCAAAGAATATGTGGATGATCCTCTATTTTAGTTCCATCTATTTTTCCTTACCTTACCAGAAGTAAGATTTAGTGGATCATAATTACAGTTGTGTTGCCTTTTTTAAGGATGGCTATCATATTAGCAGTTTTCTGCTAATATATGTTACCACTGTCCTGAGCTGGAAGAGTTTTGTAAATGGGCTATGAATAACATCTCTTGTTTCTATAAATTAAAAGTATAGAATATTATCGGGCTATGTAGATTTGTTCATTCTGATTTCTTCAGCATTAGTCAATGTAGATATACAATATTTTGCCCTGCTTGCAGGTCACAATTATATATGAAAGGATTTAAGGGACAAACTAACTTGATACTGAAGAGTGAAGGAATAAGCCTTATTATCTGTGTTTGATCTGCTGTATTTTAAGTTATTTCAAAAGGCATCAAGGAAATTATAGGGCATTTGCTGATACTGAAAAGTAACACAGAGTATGCACAATTAAGAACAGAGGTTTCTATAAAAAAAATTAATTGTACGTTGACATACCAACCACTTTCTAACAGCATTCTTCTTGTTGTACAAGTGGTTATAAGGACTGTAGGACCTTGTGATTAACAAACGCTTGCCTAGGAAAAATACAAAGATTTGTATTATAACTGTACTTAGGTATCCTTTGATCTTTGAAATGTGAGTACTGAGAACATAGGACAGTGCATTTCCATTTTAATTGCTTGTACTTTTCCTCTCTTTACTGACCATAAAGAGGCCTTTTGGTAATGAAGCAGAAATGTAGAAACTATGGCAAGGTGCTGCAGTGGTTTGCACGGATGTCTTGCTGGGGTTCAAATCCAGGCCTGGGGTGCTATCTGTGTGGAGTTTGTGTATTTTCCCTGTGTTCATGTGGGTTTCCTCCAGGTGTTCTAGTTTCCTCCCACAATCCAAAAACAGACTGGAGGGTTAATTGACTCTGGTGTGAATGAGTGCATGTTTGTGTCTGTGTGTGGCCTGTGATGGAGTGGTGTCCCATCAGGGATGTATCCTGCCTTGTGCCTGTTGTTTGCCGGAATCCAGCTCCCTATACTGGAGAGAAGAGTTTAGAAGATGGATTGAACATATGTATACAGTACAGTAGGTGCTCATAGTTAATTGTAACTATCTTAATTTCCTATCAGATCTTTCAAAAATTAAACATATACACAAGACTCTAAAAAGTATTGAGGTACTGTAATGTTGCAAAACCAAAATATGTCACACAAACCTCTGCAAGTTTATTTTGCTAAACTATAGGAACGTTATTCCTGGCTTCTTTGTAAAACTAATTGGCTGGTCTGTTATTAGCATTAAGAGTGACTGTGCAGCAAAATCACTTAATGCATGAATCGATCTGAACTTGATAGATCTGGTGCCATTTATTTGGGAAATGTGTGCCCAGCTCCTATGGGGAGTCAAAGTTACA